AAAAACCTTGCCAGATGTCTTTTGATATGTGAAAGTTTCTTTGAACGAGATTGAAGAGTGCAGTCCTCTTGGTACATGTATTTACGTCTTGCGGAGCAGCGGTCATTGTTAGCGCTCGATAAAATAAAATAGCAGTTTAAACACGTCCACCAGTTGGTGATAGAAGAGATATAAAAAAAAGTTCTTCCCATACCACCCGAGTCAAAACGTTGATTTGTATCGACGGAGCACTGGCAGAAGCAAGAAATGAAAATATAGGAGCAGCAGCAGCATGAATTAACTGCATTTTCTTGGTATTTCTATAATAAAATCCAGATATCTCAGGCAATGAACAGATGTGTTTGCGTTGGATTTGTTGATGGCGATTGTACTCGATAAGACCTAGGCTGTTGCGACGTCTAGAAAACATCATTAAAAAAGCATCAAAAATTACACTCACAACATTACCACATTTAAAGGAACTTTTTGAACAAAAGTGCCTAAGAAAAATCGAAAAAATCATGGAAGACAACGCTAACCGCTACATCAGAACTACATAAGGTCGTCGCGAAGTGGGCGACTGCTGTCAATCAAAACAAGAACGGAGCGGTACAAAAACTCGTTCGTACCTGACTCGGTCAGACTCTATCACCGCCACTCATTGATCAAGGACCATGAAATGCACCAAGATACCTATGTGTAGTCGCTGAATGAACTCTTTATGTTGTCTGTTGTATTTATGTGTATTTTTCTGGTGTGTTGTCTTTATATGAGAAAAGAGTCCTTGTAATCACAACAAATTTCCGTAAGGATCAATAAAGCAGTCTTAGTCTTAGTCTTAGAACTCATTGGTTTTGTTATCGTTGTTTAGAGAGACGCACTGCCTGTGTCCAACTTCATTGTCAGCGAATACATTATGTACATTTTTCACATGAACAAACTACTCGGCCAAGGCTACAATGGCTGCCCCGTGATGGGTAGCATTTTTTTGTTCAGGCAAGGATTCGTGAAACATATCCAAAAGAAGACATTGTCCGTTGCGAGTCCCACAGACTTAAATTTGTTATTATTGACCTGAGTGCCATTTTAGATATGCGTTGGGGACATCCAGAAGATTATCTATTTCTTCCATAACAGTCCCAATCGAGAGCGTTGATGCTAAATTTACCCCTTTTGTGTAAGACACAATGAACTGGGAAATACGAATTCAGTCGCGCTTTAAGTCACAACTTTGGGAAGATCTTTGACTGTTTGGCGTATTTTAAAATAACGCTGTAAGTAAAACCTGACAAACTGCATATGTGTAATCCGTGCCTGCTTCTCATGTCTTTCTTATTTGTCTTTTAATTGTCAATTATTCATCTTTTCATGAATCAGTCTTCGTGATGTTGCAGTCTGTCCATCTTTGCATAAGTGGCGGCTTTACAGCACATCAGCAGTCACATTAATGACATCAATACCAATTTGGCCATGTTGAGAAACACTTCAAGGGAGGCATTTTGAGGAAGGCGAGACTGCTGGCAGGCAAACGGCACTGAGTTGGTGCTACCGAGAATTTGTAGTTGATAGACACACCGAGAAAAAAATATATGTTTGGATTTGGGGAGTTATTACAAAACACGGCTTTACATGACGTCACTTTGTTTGTTAGTTTCTTCATTAACGTTTCGCTTTTAAAGCAATAAAAATGCTCAGTTCAACCAGTTTTGTCTACGTCCTAAAATGATGTAAGGGCTGTAACATTATGAAGAATATCAGCACTGCAGATAAGCGTTCATCGCCGGCTTGTCCATCACGACGAGAAGCAATTCAGTAGTAAAGTTATTATGCAGTGTTTGCATTTTTTTGTTTGATCAACCGTCGGGATGTACCGACCGCACGGATAAACTTACCAAAGTGTACAGTAAATAGTTTGTTGACGTGTTTTGTTTTGTTTTTAATTTCAGGAAACAAGTATTTTCTGTGAACTTAATATCGCATAGGTATTGGGGGTGGCGTGGTGCACTTTTTCTTTTCTTTAAGATACTTTGTAATAAAAAAGTTGCAATTACGACTTTGAGCCATGAGTGGCGACTTCCACCCCCCTGCAAAATATCCTGCGGGATCCCATGTCTGTAATATATATAAGATAAGAAAGATGCGAAGAATTTCGAAACATAATAAAGTTTTTGACCATTGCTTAAATTCAGTATATTGATTCATTCAATTCATTATATACAGTCTGCTTTTCAAACTCTGATGATTCTAACTTGAGGAGAGATCTATTCAGGGAGCGCAAATAGAAGCGGTCGCTTGTGTCAGATCATTTGAGAGCTTTCTAGTATGGGAATTTAGACAGATGAACACCAGATGTCGTTTGCAACGCTTTTAAAAAATTTATTACATATGTAGCTACTATCACAGGAAGTTGATTTCAGAGGTAATGAGCTACTTAGGCATGTAACTACAGAAGTACAGGACACATTAAAATTATAATACAACAGAGGTAGAGGCCTACAGAGGTAGAGGTCTACAGAAGTAGAGGGTTACAGAGGTAAAGATCTACAGAGGTAAAGGATTACAGAGGTAAAGGACCACAAAAGTAAAAGAACTACAGAGATAAAGGATTTGTGTTAGTCTCACTTTCAGGGAGTAGTCGGCCGTGGAGTATTTTTTACCGTTGTTGTTAAAGAAAGTGTAGCCACTGGTCAGCCAGATGTTGCCGTTGACTGTGATGCTGTAGCTGCCATCTGTCACCACATTCACCACAAAGTTGCCAACACCTGACCAGAAATATCTGGACACTAAATTTATGTTACACACTTCGAAATTAGATCACAATACTAACTAAGTATTCAAGACTCAAGTAATCACTCTTTTAAAAGTTACACTCGAGCAGCATACTGCTCCATCCATCAATCCATTCATTTAATATACATACATGAAATCATGTGGGCCCCTTATGGTCTATTTTGGTGACCAGACATCCCTACTGTTCAGGCAGGACAGCATATGTCCAGCTTTCAACAAAAAAAGTCCATCATCATTTCATACTTGACTCTCATTAAGTGAATTGTCTTTTGATTAATAACTACAAGTTAATGCTATTCTGATGTTCCTTACTTTATGCATAACATTAAAATGTTTTTGTAAATTTACTTTACGTAGACTTAGATCCTCCCGCTCGGTGCAATGGACAATAATACACAGTATTTATAATACATTTTTTTAAAATCCTAAATAGTAAGCCTTATTAGCCTATATTATATCTAAAACATTATTCAAAAGCTAAAAAGGAAAACTGACCTTTGTCCACCACAAAAATCAGAAATAATAATATTAAAAACGTCATCTCTGAATGAATATTTCCATTTGGTACAGAGATAGTTGAAGTGTTTTGACCGATCTAGAATGTAAAAGTCATGCCAAAGGCCTTTCACTCTAAAGTAGGACTGTAGTAGACGTCTGGACTGATTAACACTGTCGTCTTATATTATCTATCGTCTAATAATTACATGCAAGATACAACAATCAAGAAAATAAAACATCAAAACATTCAGCTATAAAATCTACATTCACTCCAGTGTTAACTTCTTATCTTGTACATTGTCCATTATCTATTTAGCCGTGTCCTATGTTTTAACAATGGTAATTTCAATACAGCTGTCCACATGGTATCCACCTGAGTAGGTTTACAAGACGTGCGGCAAATAAGGATGTCCTCCTCTTTAAGGACAAGTCCTCCTCTTTAAGGACATGTCCTCCTCTTTAAGGATGTGTTCGCCTCTTTAAGGATGTGTTCTACTCTTTAAGGTTGTGGCCACCGTGCAAGCGACAGGAGTCGCCCTAAACCGGCATTTACTGTTGTATGCTTCCTTATATATGGAATGGGTTGCCTGAATCAGCCAGGAAAACCAACGACTTGTCAGAGTTTAAGTCATTGATTGATTAACATGCATGACTAGATTGACACATGAAATGTGTAAGACGTAATAATCTTCCTTTTTCAAGCAACGTCTGTAATATATACTGAATTTAATCCTTCAAATACTTAGTTTAAACACAATTTAATTTCTACCAGGAATCTAAAAAAGTGTTATAATGACGCTCCATTAGTAGGCCTCTATTTCTACTGTTTAGAACAAACGTGTTACTTGCCAACAGGAAGTGAAGTTGGATGGTAAAGTTTCTCTCATTTGTATATTTAAAGCTGTTCAAAGCAAACACGTGTTTCTTTTGGTTTTTTTTTAAGGGAAAAATGTTTTTGTTAAAAGTGTCTTCGTTTATCAACGCACAGTGGACATGAGAGAAATAGTCTATATCTTTGTTGTTATTTTCCTCCTGAGGATATGCAGGTGTCTTGTAACTCTACATCAGAGAAACAGTTCCAGAGGCAGTTTTCTAAGTGTACAGTAGTCTACAAGATTCAATCTACAGATATCCGGCTAGGTTTATTTAACACAAAGCTGTGTTTAAAGATCAATAGAAGATCTAAGTTTATATTTTTGAGTAGGTTTTTTTTTCCTTTTGCAGTATTTTGAAGAACCACATTGTGATGTTTGAGATTTCTCCGAAGATTTTTCTACAATCTTTCTTTCTCTCACATGAATATTTGAAACACTCTGTCAACGTATATACTGCACTCACTCGCGCTTTCTCTACATACAAACACACTTTTAAGTCTAGGACAAAATATAGATTGAAACATGGGGAATTGAAATGAAGTGAATCCTTGAAGTCCAGACACCACAGAGCACTGTATATGTTCAGTAGTTTATAAGAAACAAGAGTTGGAGTCTGACAAAGACTTCATGAAATATTCTCTTTAAAATGATCGCAACATGCCTTCCAGGTCCATTAACAAATGTATCAATTAGAATCAATTAACATCAGAGGACCAAGCACACATTTTTACTATATTGTAGATTGTCAAATAAGATTGTATTGAGACTAATACATCCAATGTGTGTGTTGATGCTGAGAAGCTAGCATGTAGAGAAGACAGAACAAAGAGAATATTAAAACACTCAGAAAAGCAACAAGAGATTCTACACATACATTCCTTTATTCAATAGATAGTTCTGTAGTAGTTTATCCAACATTTCTTTTCACAATTTATAATACACTATATACAAGTAATCATGTAATGATATCAGTCACAAAATATTTTAGAACTGAATTGTTTTGTTATGAGATTTGTGAAAATTAAACTGGGTGCTTTAACTAAACATCAGTGAAATTAATCTGTCCTCAAAACCATAGAAAAATAAATGCTAGGATCAAATATCTTAAGCCACATGTACAAAAAACTTCATCACATTAATTGGTTCCATTTCACTGACCAAATTGAAAACTTTCTTGTAAAAAAACAACCCTGAACCAATCTTTCTGTGTCTAGTCCTCACACATTCATCATTGTACATGATCACACAACTGTATTTATTGAAAGCTATACATTTCAATTCAAATGATTTACCAATCTGAGGCTATCAATCATAGCATTCTAGAATCTTAATATAACACAAAGTTATAGTGTAAGTTGAGCCAAATAGTAAGAAAATGTTCTATGGCAATTCAAGATGTTTTTGTGCTAAGATCTGTCTAAAATAATGTACTTCTGGTGCTGAATGCTACAATGCACTACTAATACTGTGTGCACCAATGTACAACTAATTTTGTGTGCACCAATGTACAACTAATTTTGTGTGCACCAATGTAAAACTAATTTTGTGTGAACCAATGTAAAACTAATTTTGTGTGAACCAATGTACTTCTGTGTGCATCAATGTACTTCTAGTTCTGTGTGCACACAAGAATGTGAAGCTCAAACTATAGACATTCAATCTGTCATTTAGTTTTTTAAAAGGTTACATAATTAAAATGGTTGATAATAATCAATACCACTACCAAAAGAAATCTCATAAATTTGACTATAAGAACAATTGAGTGACCCACCAACAACATAACTGAAACCCTACTGGTTCAACAGTTTAGATCTCTTAATGGAAGGATCACTGTTTCAACAGATAATATTGGTGCATAGCTTGTACATGAGCTTGGCACTTATAGGATTATACAAAAAGTACTATATTAGGCCCCCTAACTGAGCTTGGGGAGGTTTAGCTACAGGTTCAACAATCTTCAACTTTGTCAACAGTAATAAGACATTGTCAGTTCCAGGCATACATATTTTAAAGTATTATAGGTTTCAGATGAACTAAATGATGATTATTTTACTGTCAAAAATATTTTAAAAAGAACAATATGTGAATATGCTTATATAAAATTATGCTTAGCAAAAGGTAAATGTGTATATAATAAAGTCAAATAGTGAACAGATGATTGACACTGTTAGAGAATGTGTGTGTATGTGTGGTGATCAACATGTATAACAATATCTCGAGGGGTAAAACTGCACATTTAACAAGGTCACTGTATGAGGTATTATGTGTAGAGTTGTTTCTCCTGTTTTAGCAACGCCATCTCAAGCTCAACAACAGAACACAGAAATCAGCTAGAAGAATAGACACACAAGAGGGTTGGGTGGTGGAGAGCTCAGATAATGTTTAATGGAGGCCCAGACTTGTGATCAAATCCAAGTCACTAACACCCCCCAGTGGACAGGGTAAAAACAAATATATGTCCAAAAAGTAACCGTATGAACGCATGGAAGACTTGTCATTCTTATACAAGACCAACAAATAGAATGAAACTTGATACATCCCAACACCAGTCTGTGTTGGGCCAACAGGTCTAAAACAATTAGAAGACATTAGGATTGACCAAACATTGCAAAGAACACAAGAAACTGGAAGAATCATCCAAAGCTGTACCTTCAACAATTCAGTGAATATGGTACTAAGTCATACTAGATCATACAACATTTTTTAACAAATGTACTAATCAAAGGACTTACTATGAAATTGGTCTCTAAAATTTCAAGAAATAAAAAAAAAAATGTGATTCTATCTTTATACTTCTAGCACAGTACACAAAATGGACAATCTCTAAAAGTAATGGGCTTAGTGAAAGTATCTTAAGCAACTGGAAAACAAAAATATTACAGACTGGTAGGAAATCACATACTGAGATAAATAATCAGATTTAAAAAACATATATATATAATGTATAGAATGCTTACTCTAAGAGACTATGGAAGCTACTTAATGATTCAATTATTCTTGAATTCTTGTCAAATTATTTGGAGATTAGACTTAATAATAACCAACCAAAACATTCATCGTTTAATCAACTTTGTCATCCTCATTTTTCAAAATCCAAAAGAAGAAAAATTTCCTCTAAAACAAACAATTCTTTGATCAATTGTTAAGTCTATAACAAAACTAGGAAGTATGAATGCTTACAGGCACCAAAGAAATTCCTTGTTTAGGACCAGACTATTTACAGTTGGTGACTTATAATTAAATAAAATAATTGCAACAACAATCTGAAAGTGATAATTTAAAACTATTTATATATATTATATATATAATGTATGGGGTGATATCAGAAAAAAAAAAAATCTCATCCCAACACTTCTAGATGACAGAGTATGTTACACATTAGTTTCACAACCAGCAGATGAACTTTAAACTGAGACAAACAATTCTGTTGTCCAATATGGTGAAGTACGCTATTGTAAAGTGCTCACATGAGTTGATATATAAAAATATAGAGAGAAATTTGTATTTGTACAAAACAATATAAGAAAACAAACAGTATCACTCCAGACATATTTGGCGCAGGTTAACCAATCATTTTATAACATTACGATTGCAAATATCATTTTGAAAAAAATCATAATGAGATACTCATCATTATAATTAAAGATTTCTATTAACTACTGAAACTAATTTCTATAAAATCTTCAGATCAAATCTTTAACAGAAAACAATAATCTCTTAATTACACATTTGAAAAAAACAAAAACAAAACAAAAAAAAAAAACTTTTTACTACACGACAGAAATGTTAAGACCAAATGCTTTGTAAAAATGAAACCAATGAGTAACAAGGTGGATAATGCTTCAGGCCACAAGGTGGAGTACACCAACAGAATCTTTCTTTGGGATTAAGCAACATGAGCAAGAGCTGAACAACATACACAGAAATACAAGTCACCCCCTTCCCCCACCTTCTCTTTTCAGTCCCAACAGTTTCATATACTATGAAGTCTTGTGAGGCATGACTTAGAAATTATTGGGAGGGGAAGGCATTCTAAACCAATTCAATAAATGAAGTTAAAAAGAAGATTTGGCATAGAATCACATCAAGGGTACTCAAAAGCCAGCCAATCATATCAAGGGTACACAATGACATGGTTGAAGACAAAAGATATAAATATATATGTATATAATAGTCTTCAAGATCCCCCTCTAGAACATTAGGCACATTGTGATCAATACGATATTTCCTCTTATAACCCATTCAGGAACAAAAAACCTAGAACAATCCAGAAATGAGGAAAACTACACTACATTTATATAAAACTTCACAATGCTGCCCCAAGTGTCTTTTGTTGTTTACCTGCGACTACAATTAACATTTGCTGAATTAGCCAACAAGTATTAAGTCAACAAGTATACCAATACTTGTAATCAAGTACATAAGCCCTCTTAAGGTGTCTGGTACTAGCAAAACATGTCATCCACTCAAAAACAATTGATTAGACTTCCGTGAAAAGAATTTAACTTCACAGTTCAATGGAACTATAGAAATAAAACTAAAACTTGGGTCAAAGGAGAATAAGTAGATACACAACACTTCAATATGAGCTTCTAATGACCATGTTCCTATTTTCTCAGTAGTCAACAGATGTTTTTTTAATAGATCTTTTCATCACTGGAAGCAAGAAAATATATATTTACAAAAGGAAATAGTTCTGTTAAAAACAAATCAATTTCTTATATATCAAAGAAATATTAGGTTTTGGTTGTGTTCCCACTTCTGATCTTGTGATTGAGTCAACTTTATACATACATAAAAAGATGAACAAACAATTATTGATATCTCAAAATCTCAAAGCTAAAACAATAGTCTAGACATTTTTGACAAGGCCAAAGTTACAAAACCAAACAATTATATAGTTAAAATAAAAACAAACAGCAGCAAATAATGTCTGTAAGAAAACAATTGTACTGATTACTAGCTAATTTTCTTAAATGTTATTGGGCTGGGGAGAAAGCCCACAGCAAAGGCAAATAGTGCAATATGTTCACAGAAGCTCAACAGCAAATGGTAGAAGTTAGATATATCCAGAGAATCTTATGAATGACATTTTGTGTACACAGTGGCTCAGGCAGGTAATCCATAGTGAAACTTTGAATTTAATCCACTGAAACTGGCTATATGATGTGTGCTGTTACTCCAAAAAGAAATAATCCAGTTCACACAATACATCACTATTAAATCCTATTGAAATCTGACATTATTTCACTTTCTATGAAGAACATAATTCACAGTCTACATCTCAGTCACTTCACTTAAAAAAACATTTTCCTTATGCAAACCAATGATTCCTGTTATTCCAGATGAGAATCAACTGATACCTGAAGAATTCACAGCATCCGTTTCACAATGAAAATGAATGAATTCACACTAGAAAGCCAATCTGCATGTCATCAGGCCACAAGACAATGTAGTCAAAGGCTGGCTTTTTTGTTTTAAAAAAAAATTATATTGCTGAGACTTGCCATTTTCACTCCTGGGCCAAACAAACAGGAAGTCAGACATTGGAGGTTTTCGTTGTGTCCAAAAACCTTTCATGTGATAACATGTTCTGTAAATGAAAAAAAAACAACACATTTTAGGTGAAACAAATAATGAGATAATTTGAATAAAAATATATCTGGCTCTGATGCAATGGTTAATTTAAGTGCTTAGTAGCAGGGATTTAAGGATGTTTTTTTTAGTAACTTAGATGAATAGAGTCACTGGCATTTGTAGGGAAATGTTAAAAGTATTTTGTAGGTCACTGATAACACCAGTCTTAACTGCTGAAGACAATGATGGGTGTATTCTATTTTCCCCCCACTCAAAACTTTCTTAATAAACCTTCACTATTTTTTTTTTCATTCATTAGTACCATTAGTTAAAAAGCTTATTTCTTATTCTCCTTTGTACTTCAAAGTAAAAACAAATGTATAGACATAAATGGAACTGCTGTAGATTGCCAGAAATAACTGATAATGCAATACTGCCATAGTATATCCCATCTAAATTAGCCTTAGCACCGATCTGAATATGGTTATGAATGCTTACCACTGTGTGTGAACAAATGAATAGAAGTACTTACTGTGAGTGTGTTAATCTCATTAGAGTAGGCTCCAATTTCTCTCGCAGCTTTTTCATCATGCTGAAAACAAACAAAAATGTGATCTTAGCGTTGTACAACATTTTATTCAATAGTTAAGTTCTAAAAAACACAGTTGTAAATCTTGATTTTTAACTCTGTGATGTGCAGACATCTTGTTACTAGAGATGAATGATGACTTAGTGCATACCAGCGCACTGTTAGACACAAGACATGAACAGTTTAGAGATGAATGTTGACATTAGAGAAGAAGCAATGGAGTTCTGCCAAAGTCAAGGAACTGACGGAGAAGCAAATGCTAAAGACAGTTTTATGCTCTGTGTTTGTGATGTTATGTTAATAAAGACCTGCATTCATTGAGATGCTTCCATTAGATTATTACAATATGATTGAAACTGTTGCTAGAGCTTTGTAGATGTTTGTGTACCTTGTTATTACATTGATTGA